TAAGCACAGAAACCACTAAATGCTACACTTTCCGATACTTAGCGAAGACTGGAGATAGATATAGAAATATGCAAAATTTGGTATTAGTGTAGAATTCAGTGGGGAAGAGACACCAGCTGAGAAGCGTTAAATTGTGCTGGAAAATGTAATTGACCCAGATACTGATCTGAACATAAAAGATGCAAAATTCTCAGTAAAATGAGGGACATTTTGGTTATGTTCATATTGAAAGCTGAAGATATGACCCTGTCTGATATGGGAAGAAGAGTTTGCGAACTGCTAGCATGCAAAAGAACAAATTCTCTAAGTGCTTACTTTTAAAAGTGAATTTTTGAAAATATTAAAATTGGAACCCGTGATAATTAGGAGGCAGTAATGAGCGGTATAGCTGACCTTATGTGAAATGCTTGTGCTCGAATCTCTGTCTGAGTGATCTTATCTTTACAGATCTGCTCACATTTTGTGAAAAAAGGAACCAACAAGGAGGTAGTGAGGGAAGTGATGCAGTTCTTCTGCACTAAAATGCCGAAATTCGCCGAAGAATTGAGAAAAGTATGCATTTTTTATTGCAAAAATTTACTCTGATACATATTTGGCACCTACTGTTCACCTGATATCGTTTTAGGCTTGTCCCGATATCGGCGAAGAATATTTCGGGAAGTGGGAAGAGATCCCTGAAAATGAGGTCGTTGCGGTACCAAGTCCATCTGAAATCAACGGTAATTTGCCAGCAGATTCTTTTGTGCAATTCTTAACTTGCATTTTATATCATAAGGCATTATAGCGAGTCAAGCTTTAGCAGTGTTTCTCTGTCGTCTTGATTCAAGTTCATGATCGCGAAAGCTCCGTAGATAAATTTTGAAGCCACAATTTTCGGCCAAGGGTTCTTGTCTGCTACGCGAATACATCATATCCTTTGCAATAGGAACAATACATGCCAAGAACTGAAACTCGCGGTTTTTGGCGAATGCTACTCAGAGCTTTACCTACTGAATAGTAGAGTAGAAGGATTCGATTTAAGTGTCATGTACAAAAAGACATTTTACGATGCAGCCGTCTATGTTTCATCCCTTAGCTGTAAACACAGACCGGACTGTGCATGCGGGTAGGAGTGGGAGTCGCCAGTACAGCCTCCTACCCGCCATGTATTGAAGGGACATGTAACTATTTTGCAAGACGGAGACGTGAAAAAAAAAGAGAGAGAGTGGAAAAGTGCAACAGCATGAAAGCAATAAGAGTGTGAAGGAAACTAACATACGATATGGGCAGCAATTCTATGTAGCTATGAGGAGGCAATTTTCATGAAAATAACGTATTAACTAAGTCTTTAATTCCTGCATCATCAGGGTAGATGAATTTGCTGAGTACTGATCGGTTCCTGAAGCAAAATCTGAAAACGGAACGTTCTAGTTTGGCAGTATCAAACTTTTTTTGTCTATGGATATTTATAAGGCGTCTAGCCCAGTCAAGAAACCCATCTGGGAAGGTGGATATGCGTGCATATCGAAGTAATTGTGATGTAGTAACACCTTCTTGTACCGTATGGCCCATATCATTATTCGGATGCTCGAAAATCCGTTCTTCAAGAAATATGGCGGATCGCAGGTGTGCACATTTACTTATGTTTCCCGCGCAGGTATCATTACAGCAAAAGCAAAGCTGCATATTTTTCTGCACTGATTACCTTGACTCTCCCAACAGCAATGTTCTTTTCAGAACATTTAAGCGGCGGTACGGATGAATGGCGTCTGATTGTGTCATTAGATG